CAGGTGGGGGGCTGGAGGGCAGGCAGGGGGCTGGGGGGCTGGAGGGCTGGGGGGGGCACTGGAGGACCGACGTGTAGCAGCCCACTCCCTCCCATCCGGTCAGCCCCAGGCCAGGTCTGAGGAGCAGCCCTGGCTCCGAGGCGCCCACTTGTAAACCACAATCTGGGCGTCACACACTCCAGACACCAGCCAGCATCCTGGGATGGGTGCGAGGGCTGACTGTCCGCAGGACCTTGCCTCCCTGTGGCCGGCCCAGCGGTGTGCCCCAGGCTCTAGAGACGTGGGGCGGGAAACTGCCCCTGTGGTCTCTGGTGAGAAAACTGGACAAGCAAGGCTGTGATTGAAAATTACGATGCATGTCTGCTGGGCTGATTGTTTGTATCTCTGTGAGGTTTTCCACAAACGTGATAACCAATTCCACACGAATCTCAGGCATTCTTCTTCTTGATTACAGAGTAAGAAGCGGCGCCAGCCGACTGGGGACAATGACGGAACAGCTGCACATCGTGTGCACCTGTCAGAAGCTGTCCCTGCTGCACAGATTCCACCGTCGCTGCAGACGCGGCGCGGGCAGAGCAAGAAGAGCCCAGAAAATCAATGCGTCTTGGACTGAGCAGTTGCTAAACACAGAAAACATCTCTATCCAACAGGCCGTGCTGAGAAAATTCCTAAGCCCTGCCCTGGGACGGCCACAAAAAATTTAATCTCTCCAAATCCTCACCAGGGCACTCCATCCTGCACCCTGACAGCCACACTTATAATTAATTATACAATTTCGATGGGGCTATCGACTCAACAAAGCTATAAATCATAGAAAAAGTCAATAAGCATGGACACGTTCAATCACGTCCCCACCAATGATTACTACTCTTAAAATACAATAATTATTTCCAGGAGCCAGCTCGAATTAAATTTCTGTCAGGTCGGTACAAGAGTGTGGTGATGAAGGATGCGATGGATTTTGGGGGTGAGCCGCGCAGACACATCCGTCCCGAGGGCGGGTGTTTGAGCCGGGGGCCGGGCGCGGCGTGCGTGGCCAGGCCGTGAGAGCGCGCCTGTCTCCACTGGCTCCTCAGGACGTTCGTCTTCTGTCGGGGCTGCCCGTGTGAGGGTGACCGCGGTGGTTCTCTGTGTCCCGTGCACGTGGGGCAGGGCACGGGCACACATGGGCGCCAGGGGCACCTCTCAAGTGCCGGGGTCCGCAGCAGCTGGATGCAGCGCTGCCACACACACCGCCTGTGCGGTCGACTCCTTGGAGCAGAGACACGAGGGTCAGGGCGTGGAGGGGCCACAGCCAGCTCCAGGTAGGCCCCAGGGAACAGGGCGCACACCTGGGGGGCCCTGGGGAGCTGGCACACATCTGGGGGCCCCGGGGAGCTGGCGCACAGCTAGGGGGCCCTGGGGAACAGGGTGCACACCTCAGGGGAGCTGGGAGCACGTATGCTCAGCACTCACCGCAGTGCCGTTGTTGTCTTGGAAAACCTCCTGGTTGAAGTAGTCAAAGAGCTTCTTTTCCAACTGAAGCATGACCTACAGAATCAAAGGTGGGGGGTCAGCGCAGTGGGGGGCACCAGCATGTGTGCATGGCCCTCTGTGACCTCGCTTGCTCTTGGACCCTCACTTCTCCCACGGTTCCTCTGAGCCCCCCACCCTGGAGGCCTTGGTGGCCAAGGGTGGCCTGTCGGGTCTGCCCTGTGGGGGCCAGCTCCTCAGAGAGCCTGACTGGAGGCCACGCTGCTCCCCGCTGCGAGCAATCGAAGCGCGTGCCCATCACAGAGAGGACCACTCAGCGGTGTGCAGCCCTTCCTGGGCCTGGGCCACGGACCAGCACAAGTGTGCGACCACATCCAGTACATGCAGACTGGCATGCACATTGCCAAGGAAGTTCACGTGTGCCACCACACCCAGTGCACATGGACCAGCACGTGTGCTGGCACTCCCAGTATACATGGGGGCCTACCTTCCGGTCATTGTCCGATTCTCGAAATATCAGCTTCACGACCTCGTTGGTGTCGGCGGCCCGGATGGTCTGCATGGTGGCTTTTGTACAGAGAGTCTGTGGAAAGACACAGAGAATCGATTGCAGGCGAGGGCCCTGGCCAGAGAAAGGCAGGGCCCCGTGGTCACGTGGCAGCGATAAGAACGCGGAGTGTGGACTCCAGGCGGAGGGGCTGTGCATGCCACAGGCAGCCGCACAGGAAGGGCACCCCAGCCCTGCTCCCCACGCACCTGCCCAGCTGGCTCCCCGTCCCATCAGCTCCCAGCCTGCTCCTGGGCTGTGGACTCAGCATCCACCGAGAAGGCGCCACAAGGAGCTCCCAGTGCAGTGCCTTCCTACCCTCCTTGTAAGCAAAGCACAGCACGGAACAGTTTAAAGAACTGCAAAATCGCCTCCAGATAAGAGAAGGGCAGGACTCATGGTGAGTCACCAAACTGTCCTGAGAAAGGAACCAGCCACCAGCCAGTCGGTGAATGCCAGGACGCCAAGAGTCTGGCTCCTCACCCTCCACCATCCATGTCCCTGGCATTCCCTCATAAGCAGATGTGGCATGTACCCTGGGGAAGGTCTGCACGAGACCTTGTTAAGCACAGTCCATGCAGGCCCGGCAAGTGCAGTGGGTGAGGGTGGGTGACACACCCTGTGGTCCACAGAAACCAGCTTATTGGGCTCCTCGGGGCGGGCAGTGCACCCTGGCAGGCCAGGGCAGCAGGAAGGACTGATGAGCAGTGGCCCTGCTCAGCTCCCAAGAGCGCCAGGTCATGCACCAGGGAGCTGAGGGGCAGCCGTGCCCGTGGCCTGAGGTGGGGGCACAGGTGAACAGCCTCGGGACCCACACTCTCTGCAGTGCGCAATCAGCTGAGGAGCAGCAGGCGGGGGAGCGGGGCGGATGGCATGCCTCCATGGGGACATGGACCATCAGGAGGCCAGTGTGCAGCTACACCATCCACAAGGGGTGGACCAGGCTGACAACCAACACACGGCCATCGACTCACTCACTGTTCAGCAGGCGGGTCAGAAAGCTCTTCCTGTCTGGACCTCGTGAGGAAGGAGGAGCTTTCTCATGCAGGGGTAAGGGGTTCCCAGAGACCAGGACCCCACCAGGGGGAGGAGATGAGGCCTCAGGGCGGCTGCAGCTCTGTGAGCTTGAGAGGAGTTATGAAAACTCAGAACAGTTAAGAATCGGAATAAATTTAACAAAAAAAGTGCAAGACTTGTACCCTAAAACTACAGAATACTGCAGACAGAAATTAAGATGGAAGTAAACTCTGAGGCATCCTGTGATCATAGATTCGAAGACTCAATATTATCAAGATGGTAGTTTTCCCACAATTAATCTACAGATTCAACACAATCGCTATCACAGTCCCAGTAGGTGTTTTTTTTTTCTTTTTGTGGAAACAGATGAGCTGATTCTAAAATTACACAGAACTGCAAAGGTCATGGATGACCACTGTTAAAGAAGAACGAAGTTGGAGGATATACACTGTTTTCAGAACTTACTATCAAGCCAGGGAATCAAGAGAGCCGGTATTGGTACCAGAATGGGCACGTGGACCAAAGGAACTGAACCAAGAGTCCAGGAATAAACCCTCACATCTGAGGTCAACCGGTTTTCGACAAGGGTGCGAGGACAATCCAGTGGGGACAGAACACTCTTTTTAACATGTGGTCCTGGGAAAATACCTGCACATGCAAAAGAATGACCGTAGATCCCTGCCTCACACCATATACATAAAAACAGACCTTAGATCCCTGCCTCACACCGTATACATAAAAACAGACCTTAGATCCCTGCCTCACACAGTATACATAAAAACAGACCTTAGATCCTTGCCTCACACCATACATAAAAACAGACTCAAGACAGATCTTGGACCTAAATGTAAAACTGTGAGACTTCTAGAAGAAAACACAAGAGAAAAATCTCTGTGACCTTGGGTTGGGCAAACAGTACTTACATAGAACACCAAAAACATGCTCCATAAAAGGGAAAAAATGAAAAATTGGACTCCATCAAAATTAAAAATTTTTGGTTTCAAAAACTACCGTTAAGAAAATGAAAAAACAAGCCACAGATTGGAAAAAATATTTACAAAATATCTATTTGATAAAGGACTTGTGTCTAGGTGTATGAAGAACACTTACAACCCACCTGACAAACAACCCAATCAATCAGCAGGCAAAGGACTCAGATATGTCACCCAAGAAGACACACCATGGCCAACAAGCCATGAGAAGATGCTCGACACCATCCATCCTCAGGGAGACGCAATCCAACCACACAGAGACACCACCTCACACAGACCAGAATCCAAGCCAGGTGATGACAAGGGGGGAGGCTGGCATGCGCTGCTGCTGGGAGCGTACATGGTGCAGCCGTTCTGCTCATGCAAAGACCACATGCCATGAGTCCATCCACACGAAATGTCCAGAAAAGGCAACTTATAGACACAGAAAGCAGACGGGTGGTTGGCTGGGGCTGGGTGGGAGCAGGGACTGACCCCAGGGGCTGGGTGGGAGCAGGGACTGACCCCAGGGGCTGGGTGGGAGCAGGGACTGTCCCTAGCGG